ATAACGGTTTTTGAGGGTAATGACATTTATTAGGAGGTGACATCCCCAAAAAATGCATAAATGACTAAACGCTTTTACTTTCAATACTTAAGTACAAAAAATGTCTGTGGCATAACGGTTTTTGAGGGTAATGACATTTATTAGGAGGTGACATCCCCAAAAAATGCATAAATGACTAAACGCTTTTACTTTTAATACTTAAGTACAAAAAATATCAGATTCTTTAATACTTTTACTTAAGTAATATTCCTAAAGGAGACTTTAACTTTTACCAAAGTAATATTTTGGTAAGATACTTGTACTTTGACTCAAGTATTACTTTGTGGTACTTTATACAACACTGGTTTTTAAACACAATCTGAGTTGCGTWGCCCATATTTTTACACGATCAGGTGATGGCATTTTATGACACAACGGCTTGCCCTAAAGAGCGTCACTTACTCGCTCGCGTATCAGCCGCCAAAATTAAAATAAAATAAGAACTTGTGAACTTCCTTATTTTAGCAGAAGCTCTTAGTGTTTTGAAGTTAATCAGAAAGTACAGAAACATGAACGGAGCGTCTACAACAGGTACGTCAGAAGCAGCTAAGCTAACTAGCTTACAGTGTTTGTTATGATGCTAACATTAGCAGCGAGTGTTTGTCTTTAGCTCGGAGTGTTTAAATGATCTGTTCCGTGTGTTGATTTATGCACACTGTTTAACTAGTGTGGCTTTATCAGGATGTRTGCTGTGACTTTCCTCACTTTAATACTTGCTGAATTGTTCAACTTTAACTAAAATAAATTGTTTCTTCAATTACTGTAAAACATTGTTCTCTAAAGATCCACTAACTTCCTTTCTTTGAGTTTTCTCGTGCTCATTTTAGCAACAAGATGTGCCCATTCTAGCTTTTAGCTATGATTTTGTTAGTTTGGTTTTAACAGCAGTTTTAGTAATTATACTTCAGCACTTAATTAATAATATAATTGTTATTATTCGCAGGTGTTTTGAGTCTTTTAAGTCTGCTGGAAGTKAAAACAAGAAGCCGAGGAGGTCAGCCTCAGCAGCTGAGTCGTGTAGAAGAGCTAAAGGCTAAAGTTAAAGAGCTGAGAGCTCAGAGAGATCAGCTGAAGACAGAGATACAGATACATGAGGTGAGAAGACCCTCACTGTTTGTCTGTCTGTTAGCAAAATATCTGATGAGTCAACAAGCACATTTTAAAGGGATCCATGATTAGTTGTAACATTAGACTTTATTTAATAAACATTTATTTTAACTGTAAAATAAAGACTGTAAAAATACTGTAGGCTGTTTAGTTCTCTCTTTTAGTTTAACTTGGTTGTCGTGCTAGCGCCGAGCTAATACATATAGCATCGGGGCTAACGCTAAAGCTAACAGGCTAAGCTGAGGTTGTTCTTCCATGAAGCAGCTC